GGTGTTTAAATTAGCAAATTAGCTTAAAGAATGTATTTAATTCTGATTGCTAATATATATATATATATATAAAAGTTCTGCTGCCTTTCGACAAATCACACAGTCGGCAACGAAAACCACATAACGAACTTAATTTCAGTTTCATCTAAATGCGTTATTTCATGGTCTGTGCAATGATAAAGCATCCAGTGTACAAAAATGTACGGCCTCACGTAATGTCAATCTATACAGTAAGATGAGGCGTAAAGGGTAACTATTTAAAGGACAGAGAGCGAAAGAGTCTGCCACGTCCTTCCATTTTTATGTATATACCGGGCGTGTTGACCGCCTCTGTGGTCTGGTGGTCAGAGTTCCTGGCTACAGATCCAGAGGTCCGGGTTCGATTCCCGGAGCTACCAGATTTTCTGGTTCTGGAACGGGGTCCATCCAGCCTCGTGAGGATAGTTGAGGAAATATTTAAAGGAAATAAAGTCTCCGGTCTAGAAACCCGAGATTAACGGCCGTGGGGATTCGTTGCGATGACCACGCTACACCCCCTAGCAGCTAAAGTTGGCACTAACTTCGCCGACAAGCGGCGGTCGCTCGGTCAGTAGAGTTCGCTTGCGGACTAAAAACCGCGGAGTTTATCAGACGTGTTACATGCTAAGGCAACTATTTATTTTTAAGAATACTGCCACGTGTTGGGTAGGTCACGCGACAAATATATATTGAGCTATTGTAACACTAAGGAATAGGATACCTATTAAGAAGATGACAGTCGCTTAGCCAATCAAAAATTTAACTGTCTTTTATAGAACCCGAAGTTTAATTACGGTTAGTTACTATAGGATTCTGACGATGGTGTATAACACACTGATATATTGGGTTTCTGGATTTTATCCATCGTCCTGGTTTTTAAGATAACAAATAAAAACACGACGTTTCGGAAACTGGATCTGTTTCCGTCCTCAGGTGAAGGAAAAGGGATTGAGGCTAGCTCTTTCTAACGGACCCAACTGAATAGGTGTTTTCCTTCACCTGAGGACGGAAACAGATCCAGTTTCCGAAACGTCGTGTTTTTATTTGTTATCTTAAAAACCAGGACGATGGATAAAGTCCAAAAACCCAACATATCAGTGTGTTATACACCATCGTCAGAATCCTATAGTAACTATAAGAAGAATGTCTGGCTCTATGTATGATGTATGATGATTCTGGACCAGTGATTGAGGCTAGCTCTTTCTAAGGGACCCATCTGAATAGGTGTTTTCCTTCACCTGAGGACGGAAACAGATAGGAAAACACCTATTCTGAATAGGTGTTTTCCTTCACCTGAGGACGGAAACAGATCCAGTTTCCGAAACGACGTGTTTTTATTTGTTATCTTAAAAACCAGGACGATGGATAAAGTCCAGAAACCCAATATATCAGTGTTTCATTACGGTTGTCACTCAAGCTCGTCATTGGGTTCTATTCCGAGGTCCACGAATCCAGTAAATACCCTCACACAATTCCACTTCTTTTAATATTATCCTTCCATCTATGCCTAGGCCTCACATATTGCTTTTTCTCCCCTGGTTTCCCAATAAGAATTATATGTGCATTTCTCTCTTAAATACACGTATGTTACATACCCCGCCTATCTCAGCCTCCTTAGCTTGATCACTCTAATGCGCCTAATAGTTGGTGAAGTATACAAATCACAAAGCTCTGGGAAGTATATTTTTCCTCAGACCTATCCGTACTTCCCCAGTCTTAGATTTAAGCAGCCTATTCTCTTCAGAAACTGTTCTCAAATAACATTGCCCTATGTGCTGACCACGTGATACCCTCTATTAGCAACAGTTGGCGCTATCTTCGTCGACATGCGGCGGTCGTTCGGTCGGTATAGTTCGCTTGCGGAATACAGGCCACGGAGTTTAATGTTCTCCCTTACGGTGATGGATTAAGTTTCATACCCATACACATCAAGTTGCTAATTTAGAAATTAAATCCGTCAAATTAGAGACAAGAGGTGAAAATGTACCAGTTCTGTTCTACAGAAGTGAATATAAATGCATCTGACACCGAGTTATATTCTTAGCATTCCTAAGTGATTGGGTCTGCTAATTTGGTATGTTTTACTTTTTATTTTAAATCGCAATGTCCGTACGTGTTAAAACATAAGCCCTCTTGTTCACACGATAAGATAAATCAGATTATATGTAAACAACTTGAATTCTTGACTATATATCTTAAAATCGTTTCATTACATGTAAGACTGTCAGGATTTTATAGTATCGACCTTTGCTGTCCGCACGATATACCAGTAACATAATCAGCAAATTTCCTGCTGTAATGTGTTAATGATGTGTCTGGATTACTTGACGAAACTCACTTTAGATATATAACTTTTATCTAAAAGTTTTATCTACAGAATGTTAAACCAAAGATCTGGTACTTACTGTTATAACAAAAAAATATATATTCTTTTTTCTTTCCACACGCAATATCCTAATTTGTTCATGTCATGTTTTATTTAGGATATAGACGATGGCATGGACTTCTTTCGTTTGTTTAGATTTTTAGTGGGCAGCTAACCTTTTTACTTAAAATATTTATAGGTTTAACCTTCCTTTTATTTCGATTAGATAGGCCTAATCATTGAAAGTCCTAATCTAAATTGAAAAGCTTTAACGTTATGCTGATCGTACTGACGAAAGCGAAATAAGTAATTGACCTCAAGATTTGAATTAAATGAATTACTGGAACCACCTTGAAGAGTGCAGATAGATGGGATGATAAGCGTAAAACTGATCTGAAAAAAAGAAGTTTCAATCTAAACTCAATCTACTGTCCCATGGCGTCGATCTGTAGTCCTATTCATATATTACTGTTAAAATTGTTACTTTCATGGATATAATATGAAAGTTTCGCACCATGGCCATATTTGTAATTACTTTTTTTTAAATTAGCATAGTGGGGGGGTGGAGTCCAGCTGTGTCCATTCGGCACGGCGGCCACTGATCGGCCTATTGTATCTGCCCCGGGTGATTATGATGATGGAGAATTTGGTGTAATGAATATTGGCAGGGGAAACCGAAGTACTTGAAGAAAACCTGCCCGAGTGCCACTTTTTCCACCACAAATCCCAACTGACCAGACCCGTGCTCGAACCCGGGCCGCCGCAGTGTGAAGCCAGAGACTAACCGCTTGAGCTATGGCGCGGCCCTAGAAATTCTGTTAGTTCAGTTGGAGATGAATTCTCAGCTACACCCTCCGGCCGTTTTATCTCCGGGGAAATAATATCTGGTACCCATTGGATAGTTGACTAGGTCNCTTTTCACCATAAAAACAATTTATGTTGAAAAATTTCAAACGGTAGTTATTTTCATATTTTAATTTTTACATAAAAATTGTCTTTAAAAACTACGTATTTGTCGAAGATACCACTTCAGGGCGCTAAGTTAAGGATCATTACTGTCGCTTTAACCTCACAAGTCTATTAGTCCGCCATCCGACTAGTACTAATTGTGAGAAGTTAATGTGTGTGGCGTTGTTATACCTCTCAGGCGCAAAGCCTTCATAATAAGTTTCGTGGAGAAGGTCCTTAGTTTCTAAGGCTGAAAGGGGAGAGACAAACACACGCGTAGCATGGTGATGTCCTATGAGAAGAGGCTTATAGGAGCGTGAAGTTGTGGGCCCTATTACTCTGGTTCGTGTTATGTAAAAAGGGCGGCCCTTGTGAACGCTGGTGTTCCTTTCCAATAAAATTCGTATGTTTGAGTCTTGTCACCACTCAGAATTCAAGGTTTTATTGTTTCCAGTCTCTTCAGAGCAAATGTCGTTCGTATAGGTACGGCCACACAGAACGCTACGTACGCGACGCACGCTACGTACGCTATGTTCGCTATACGAACAGAAAACTATCTCCCTTTATTGCCAATATGACTGGCCACACAGACTTCCGTACGCTACGTACGCTATGTTCCCTATGTTAGCTGCGTCGCAGAGTGTACACAGCGTACATAGCGAACATAGCGTAGCGCTCTGTGTGGCCGAACCTTATAGATAATAAATACAAAGATGGCTTGGCTTTCAAAGGCAAATTTGTACCAAGCTGCATAAAGATGTAGCAATTTGTTCTATCGGTAGGACGGATAAACACACGAAAGGTACTAAGCCCTGTTTCCACGTCCAATGAATGATGTTCGGCTTTCCTAGACTGTCCCTGAGAAAGGTCCTGTGTTCTTCGTACGTGGAACTGAATATTCCTTGATTTATGATAACACCCTGATTTAATGGCTGTCATTCGCTTGTGAAGGCAAATAGTGATACATCTTATGCGTTATCCGAAATCCAAGATATAGGAATCTGTAAAAGACATTTTAACGTTTATCTAGAGTTGAGCACCTGAACTAAAACAACCAACCAGACCCATGACGTGATAAATATTAAGTGGGACACTGTCGTCATTGTTGGTGCATGTGTCCTGCGTTTAATGCACGGCTGTGATAACTAACTTCGTGGAGCTTAGCCCTTCTTGGGAAGCTGCCATTCGCTCAACTACTCAAGAATTTTCCAATATTTTACGGAACCTGAATGTTCATTTCCGTGTTCACAAGAGCCCTCCACTGGTCCCTATCCTGGGCCAGATTGATTAAGTCCATACGACACAGTCCAGTCTAAGATCCATTTTAATATTATCCACGCACCTACGTCTTCCTCTTCCATACCATGTATGCTATATATATTGCTCATATCATCCTCCTTGGCTTCATCATCATTCTTAATATATTTGGCGAAGTGTACAAGTTATGAAGCTCCTCCTTA